GAGGAAGCGGAAGCCTTTCGGCTCCGCGCCAGATCTGGCTCGTGCTTCCCTACCAGCTGAATCCGGTGCGGAGGCTTGAGATGAGGTGACCACATCTGTATGCAGTATTCAAAATGTGGGTGTGCCATGGATTTCTGTGCTCCTGCCCCCTCCCCTCTGACCAGAAACCCTGCCCAATCAGGGTCCCCATCTGGACACAGCATCCTGAGGCAGGCCTGACAGTTCAACCCCTATCTGGCCGTAGGAAGGGCTGGTGGCAGCCTATGTTCTGCCCTCCTTCTGCTGTGGCATGCGTAGGAGGGGAGGCCATGAACTGGCTGCGGCAGTCAGATGTGAGGTTGGTGAGTGTAGTGAGACCCCTAGTGGCTTTATTTATATTTAATATAAATTTATTTACAAATTAATATGGGAAACTTTACATAAACAAGTGGCCCTGTGGCACCTTAGACTAACAAAATTATATTAAATATTTAAGTGACTTGAACACATTTCATGAAACAGCTATAAAAAAAACCTTTTCTATGATCTCTAACTGGAGTACAAGCTATAAAAGTTGTAGTTTTCTCTAGCCATTTGGGGTGGCAGGAAGAAGAAGAAAAATTCAATAGGGACTAATAACTTGCTTGAATAGTGCCCAAAAGTCCCATTCTTGGTGAGGGCAGGACTGTAATAGGTGATTGTCTAACATGCAGGAAGACAAACTCTGCACAAAGCTTAATCTACTCCCTAGTGGCTGAGCATATTGCAAAGTAGGAGAATCGCCTTTTATCTATTGCTGCCAAGGTATTCTTCCCTTGTAATCACTTGTGTCTGACAGCTTGCTGTATGTGAAGTTTTGAAAAATCTTTCTTATAAGAGAAACTACAACTCTTTAACATCAATGCCTTCTTGCCTCAAGTCTTTCAAGGTCTCCTAACTAAAAGCTTATCTCCTGGTCCTCCTTCATATGGAGTTAATGTCCTTCCATAACATTAGCCAGAAGCTCCTTGGCAGGGGTTATTTGTTTGGCTTCCAGGTTTAAGGGACCTATAATAAAGTAGCTTGCTACATGGTGCTTACAGATGGGCCACATAGTTGGGTTCCTGTCTATTGTGGTACTTGGATTCCTTTCAGTAGTGATGCTTCATTACTAGCTGGAAGGTTGGCTGGATATGGCGAGACAAACATTTGTCTGACTATCTAGTATAGCCTAATTTGTGACTTGGTGGTATAAAGTCTTCCTAACCTAAGACAGAACCGGGTATGAATACCTGGTCCCTCTAAATCACAGGTTAGGCCCCCAAGACTCAAACTTTTACTTAAAAGTTATTCCTTAAACCAGAAGATATGGAGAAGAGTCTAGGCTTGCATTAGTATAAAATGTTTTCACCAAATTAAACTAGATCCCCTACTGACTAGCTTTAGGTTTCCATTTGCTGTAGGATTTAAAAACTTGGCTATTGCTGATTCTGTAGTTAATGCCTCTTAAAGAATCCTAAAATCAGTTAAACTAAACAGGACAACTGGCTGCGCTTTTGGAAAGCTCTATCCATAACTTAAATAGCTGTCCAGTATTAAATGAGGAACCTGCCTCTTTCTTGTAGGTGGTTGCTAATGCCAAGGATGTAGTTGCTGGTGCAAAAGATGCTGTAACAACCACTGTGACTGGTGCCAAGGATACCGTTGCGCACACAATTAATGGAGTCGTGGACAAGACTAAAGAAGCTGTGCAGGATAGTGTGGAAATGACGAAGTCCGTTGTCAATGGCAGCATTAACACTGTCCTGGGAAGCCGTGTGGTGCAGATGGTGAACAGTAGGGTGGATAGTATGCTCAGCAAATCGGAGACTCTTGTAGACCACTATCTCCCAGTTACTGAAGAGGAGGAAGGTAAGACTACATCAGTACTTGATGAGATTGTAACTGGGGTGGATTGGGGGGGGGG